TTTTATAAATTTTTAGATTTCTTCATAGATTTAGATTCTAACTAACAATAGGAGAATTGACAAAACATTTTTAAAGTCATGAACGATTGTAATTTTTCCCATTGATTCCTAGAATCTCTGCATATATTCAGCCTGCATAGTCATTTTTATAGTCTTGTATTATCTACCACGCAAAGGGAGAACTGCCTGGATAATAAAAGAATTTACTTTACAGGGTTTGGGGGCAGATCAAATGAAACAGTGCATGCAAGCACTGACTATGTGGTCTGGCCTGCATTAGGCTCTAAATAAATATTGTCTGTTTTATGCGACTATTCCCAGTTGCTTTATCTTGTAGGAATTTGGGGGAATTATAATTATGTATGACTTAATTTTAAATTATTATTAGATGATTTAGTATCATTGGAAATACTTTTAAAAATATATTCCAAATGAAATATCTATGCATTTCCTCCAGACAAATTTGTGATGGCCGTTCTCTGCCTCCCCACCCAAAAAGATCCACAAAACTTATGAGTCATTCAAGGGAGGAAAACATAATATTTAGGAGCACTTCTACTAGAAAAGGAATCAAAAGGATTCAAATACATTATGAATAAGACATTACTATTTCATTTCCTTATTTTATTTTTGTCCATCCCTGGGTTTTCCCTTTAAAAATAAAAGCCACCTTGGTGGCTCAGTTGGTTAAGCATCTGACTCTTGATTTAGGCTATGGTCATGATCTCGTGGCTCATAAGTTCAAACTCCCCGTTGGGCTGTGGACTAACAGTGTGGAGCCTGCTTGGGATTCTCTCTCTCCCTCTCTTTCTGCCCCTCCCCCATTTGTACACTCTCTCTATCAAAATAAAATAAAATAAAATAAAAGTGTCAAGTTTCTTTAAAAATATCCTTTTAGAGGCTAACCAAAAGAAGAAATGAGCCAAAAAAGATAAAATGCAGCAAAGATATGAAAAGTGTTGACACTAGACATGAAATTGAGATCAAACATAAATGGAGGGAAAGAAGAAATAGCTGACCATGGGTGGTTCAGTCAGTTGAGCGTCCCACTTCAGCTCAGGTCATGATCTCACAGTTCGTGAGTTCGAACCCCACTCCAGACTCTGTGCTGACAGTTCAGAACCTGGAGCCTGATTTGGATTCTGTGTCCCCTTCTCTCTCTTTCCCTCTCTCTCTCTCTGCCCCTCCCATACTCACACTCTGTTTCTCTCAGAAATGCACACTAAAAAATTTTTTAATAAAAAAGAAATATGCTTTTAGAGGGACTACTGGGTGGCTCAGTTGGTTAAGTGTCCAACTTCAGCTCGGGTCATGATCTAACGATTTGTGAGTTTGAGCCCCATGTCGGGCTCTATGCTAACAGCTCAGAGCCAGGAACCTGTTTCAGATTCTGTGTCTCCCTCTTTCTCTGCCCCTCCCCCGCTGGTGCTCTGTCTCTCTCTCTCCCTCAAAAATAAATAAACATTAAAAAAAATTTAGTATGCTTTTAGAGATAAAAGAATGAATATTACCTGAGGCTCATTTGGGAAATTACTCGTGGAAATGCCTACAATGATTACAGAAAGGGGTACTTCTCAAAGGAATCAGCACAAGGCTGATGAGGTCTTATATATGGGGTCTTTGAACCCAAGAAAAGCCCTGGAAATGAAGAGGAAGTAATGATGTACCTGTTATTTAAGTGTTGATCCTGTATTGAAAATAGCAGCTTAAAATACTCCAGAAGTGATTTTTGTAGGTTACACGTCCATGTGCTTTCTAGTGGAGGAAAACTCTTAAGAGGTTGCCTGCTGATGAGTGAGCATTTTTTCTGATGGGCAGATTGTGAGGGTATTTTGGGTGGGGGAGGGGAAGGTAGTAGGGAGCAATTTGTGAGTTTTGATGCTCTTGCAAAACACTGTATCTGCTACAAAATGTAGGTGAGCTGCTGCACTGGTTGATAAAGTGAGTGTGGCTTGTATCAACTCTTGTCACCAGGGAAAAGTAGTACGTGCTCAACAGTTAAAGTGGTTGACTGCCTGCAGATGTTCTTAAAGAAGCAGTTGAGCTAAGACTGCAACCTAGTGGTGAGTTTGTTATTAGGAAAAAAGTGGCTGCATTCATTGTAGGCCATTGATAAAGGCTGCATTTGAATTCAAAGTGAAAATAACTACCAAAGAGAAGTATGCTCATGCCCTTCATGGAAAGATTGGTCTCCGAAGAGTGTTGTCAAGGGGTTAGAAATGGAGAGAGGATGACTGGAATCAGACCCCTGTGTAGGTAGCATTTTCTATCTTGTCTAAGCTTCTGCTCACTTCCCTATTGGTCTCTTTAAAATACAACCTTGCCTGGCCGACCCTATTTGATCTTCTCACATTAGTTGGACTCATTTCTTCTGTTTACTGATTTAATCCATTCCATTCTAAGGTAGATTTTGACTTGTTTTTGTTTCTGTGATTGAAGTGATTCAAACCCTACTGTTCTTGAAGGCAAGTAAGTAATGTAACATGATTCTAAGTATCATTCTCATTCTTTGACTCAACAATGTTTTTTTACACTCTGATGTAGCTTTTATTTCTTAGAAACACTTCTTACTCATTGTATTGATGACTATTTCATATTCTATTGTATTAACATGTAAAAATTGATTAACAAAGCACCACTGAGGGTTTGTTCCTGTTAAGAGGATCACTTCTCTTTATACAAAATATGGAATATCCGAGAAATGTCTCGGTGTAAGAGAGTCGTTTAATTATTGTGTTTCTTGATCTCACTTTTAAAGTCTACTTTTATCTTAATTTTCCTCATTTCTCATCAGTCTTTTTAAGCATACACTTAAAAATTAATTTGTTTTCTGATTTTCACTGTCAAATTATCCTTGTTCCTTAGTAGTCTAATTTTTAGTTCACTTATACTATCTTTCTTTTTATGTAGTTTTTATTTTACCTGCGAAACTTTACCTGTGATTTTTTTTTCTTTGTTTGCTCCTCCTAAATTTTTTTTTTTTTTTTTTTTGCAAAGCTGCTTGGTATTGGGGTATGAAGTCTAGTTATTCTGTAGGTAGGTAATAAAAATCAGTCTTGTGCCTTCATGAAGTGTATCAATACATAGAATGATTAGCTTTTAAATTCTTCCTCCACCTCAGGTCTTTTACATTTAATTCAGGAACATTCAGAAAATTTCTTCATTCTTCCAAGTTTATATGCTCCTAAATGTTGGAGTGTGGGAATCCATAGCCTTGCCAAATCCAGATAACCCATGATTACAAGACTCACTGCAGTTAAGTTGACTATAGGAAGCCCATCTCTATCAGCGAAATGATGGCCTCTAAAAAATTTAGAGGATTTTTTGTCCCCTGTGTCACCCTAATGAAACCGTTTTGGATTTCCATGAGTTCTTTAAAACAACTTTCTACAAAGTACAAATTTGGACTTGATGTAAATGCTGTGAACCAAGAAAGCTATGAAATCAGCCACTCTGTAATCGATACAGAAATCAATGCTGTAATAGTAAATTATCTGAGAGAGCTTTCTCTTTTCCTAGCACTCATTTGAGATGCATCCTGGGAAATCTGTGACACAAAGATCATGGTGGCTGACATGGCACCCTAAAGACAATTTCTACTAAAATAAGAGTTTGTGGGGCAAGATGCTTTTCTATAAATTAATGAGCGTAATACTAAGGGAACCAAAATAAATCCCTCCTCCTCCATACACTTAATTATATTTTGGAAAGAGGAGACAAATTAATGAAACAGCATGAAAGGTCTCAGAGCTATAGATTTTCAACAAATTACTTCTATAACTAGCTATGAAAAATATATGAGGAGATATTTTTGAAGGCCCTCAAAATCTTCTTAAAAACAATAATATCTTTAATAATTCAGATTTATTAATTACTCCAGAAGTAATATATTGAAAATGAGAGTACATTGCATACTGGAATGTATGATTACATAATTAAAATTTTATTAACAGAAAATGATGTTGTATAAATATGTATAAAAAATACTATAGTAAACCAAAAGCGTCTTTACGGTGTCTTTTTAAAAAAAGTTTAATCCTTGAATAATTCCTGATTCTCATATATGAGAGAAACCCACAAAATTTATTTTTCAGATCTCAAACAACTATTTTATCTGGCATTGTAAAACATCTAAGAGAAATGAAAGGAATACTGTTTCATTTTACCTCCTTCTCTAACAACAAAAAGATATCTTTAGTTGTGGTTAATATTTACTTAAAGTCCACAATAAAAGCTCCTGGGTACATACTTGTTTAAGGGCAAAATAGAGTAGATTACAGAACTATGACTTTAGGTAAGGGAAGACAAAGCACACAGAATTTGGCCCACAAAATCACAAATTTGGAGAGGGCGGGAGTGGTAGGAAAAAGAGAGGAAAGGGAGAACCTGGGTGGCTCAGTCTGTTAGGCGTCCAACTCTTAATTTCGGCTCAGGTCATGATCTCATGGTTTGTGAGATCTCGCCCCACATTGGGCTTCATTTTGTATTACTGTGCACATCCGTACCATCAATATAAAGGTAAAACCTTAGAATTCTAGAACAATATCTTTGTTTTCTTTATACCTTTCAAATTCTCAGAATCTGTCTACTAAATATTTTTAAAGTAAGCTTAAGTTAAATGAATTGCAGTATTGTTCTTTTGTGAATCGATCAGAGAACTTGAAGGTCGATGAGTCTCACATCCACTATTCCATTATTCTGGTCCCTGGACAGCATTTCCACTAGCTTCAAAGGAATTAAGAACAAAAGAAATATGTAGCTCTCAGACTTTTCTAAATACTCCTAGACCTAGAAGACAAAGATCTTAATCTTTTTGTTCAGGAAATAGACTGGCACAATTCAGCACCGTCATCAATCATGTTGACCAGAGTCTCTTGCCTTTAATGAAACAGGAGCAGAAAAATTGATTGGGAGGTGCCATGTGTGTTATCATAATACCCATCACTGGGTGAAAAGTGCATTTGTGAGGAAATCTAGTACTGCCTAGCAACTGTTTCCAGGCAAAGGGAGCCTGGGAACCAGCTGTGGTTGACTTCCAGGAGCCACTAGACTGTTTCTACACACTTCACAAGATACCTGTTCGGGATTATTTGGATTTCGGTTTTAAGGTATAGTTTTTCTCAGCAACTCTCAATACTAACTATTTTCCTTTCTAGTGATTGACACAATAAACCTAATATTACTCCTTTTTGTCCCTCTCTAAATATAACTGCACAGATTTTTAACCATAATGGAATATGTCTGAAGTCAGGAGCTTCTGCATTTTGAAAGCTGATGGTGTCCATTCCTTTGAAGCCTGCCAGTTTTTTAAGTGGTCTAAGACTATACTCAGATTTACACCCACTTCTGAGAGCATAAAATGTGGTATTATACATACCCCAGAAACTTTAAACATTTTATTCTCCTCCTGGAAAATCCATCCCTGGCCTTCTTGTGCAGACACTCCTCTCCTTCTGCTGCTGAGTGTGATTTATGTTCTTGCCCCTGGCCTTTGGAGCAGGATGTAGCTCAGTTCATAGCAGTGAAGCAGGAGTTTCAAGAGGAACTGGGGGTTATGCCAGAACTTGATGAGGGGCATGCAGGCTATCCTAGTAAGTAGAAGTCTCTCCAGGCAAAAGAGTGCTCAGAGAACTTAGAGGAAGATAGTAAATACCGTAGGCTCGTCCTGGTTGAGTACTTCCTGATATACCTGAGCAGTTCAGCCCCCCTGATTCTGTCCAAGCTGCTTGTTCCCAGTCTACAAATACTTCCCAAAGTAGACACTTGCTTTCAGTCAACCACAGACTCATGCTTTTATCCCCACGGCTGCTGGAAAGCCTCACGCCCTTTCCTGTCTCATTGTCCTCCTGCCGTCCAGTCTCTTCTTTCCGTTCCACAGGACCCTCTGAGAGTGGTATCCTTTTGCAAACCCACTTCCCTCATCACATCATTATTATGATGTGAGGTTGAAACCCTAAGGAGCTTACTTCATCTCCAGCACCCTCAAATTGAGCCTGCTCCTTTTCTGTAACCATAACCTTATTAACAAGAACCAGACTGCCCTCCTCTTCAGCTGCCTATGCTGCTTCCAGGACTTTCTTATTTATTTTCATAAGAAGCCCCTCTGCATTTGGGAGACAGTAGCATTCAAGAACACAGAATTTAGATGTGCACAGTGTTTGGGAATGATGGATAGATCACCCGACCTTCCTGATCCTCTATTTCCATATCTGGAAAAAGAGGATAAGAGTATCATTTTGCAAGTTTATGGAGGTTAATTTATTCTTTCTTCTCACAAATCTTTACTGATTAAGACGTGCCAGGCATTTTTCAAAGTACTGAGAAAAACAGTCCCTGACTTCATGAAGCTTGTAGTCTCATGAGACAATACTTAAGAGTTTGTTTTTGGGTTGTCTCTCTTTATTGTTTGTTGTTTTGTTTCCTAAATTCCACACAGGAGTGAAATCATGTATTTGTCTTTCTCTGACTAACTCACTTCACTTAGCATTATATTCCCAGCTCCATCCACATTGTTGCAAATGGCAAGATTTAATTCTTTTTTATGGCTGAATAATATTTCATTGCATGTATAGACCACTTCTTTATCTATTCACCTTTCGATGGACATTTGGATTGCTTCATATTTTGGCTCTTGTAAATAATGCTGCCATAAACAGAAGGGTGTGTATATCTTTCCAAGTTAGTGTTTTTGTATTCTTTGGGTAAATACCCAGCAGTGGAATTACTGGATCATATGGTAGCTCTATTTTTAACATTTGAGGAACCTCTATAATGTTCCCCACAGGGGCTGCCCTAATTTACCAGTTTGCATACCCTTCACAGAGTGTTCCCTTTTCTCCACATCCTCGCCAACATTTTTTTTTTCTTCAGGTTTAGCCATTCTAACAGGTATGAGGTGATATCTTACTGTGGTTTTGATTTGCATTCCCCTGATGATTAGTGATGTTGAGCATCTTTTCATGTGTTGGCCAACCTTATGTCTTCTTTAGAGAAATGTCTGTTCCTGTCTTCTGCCCATCTTTAATTGGATTATGTGTATGTGTGTATGTGTAAGTTCTATAAGTTCTTTTTACATTTTGGATACTAACCATTTATCAGATATGTCATTTGAAACTACCTTCTCCCATGTAGTGGGTTGTCTTTTAGTTTTGTTGATTGTTTCCTTCGCTGTCAAGAAGATTTTTATTTTGATGTAGTCCTAATAGTTTATGTTTGCTTTGGTTTCCCTTGCATCTGGAGACCTATCTAGAAAAAATGTTTCTGTTGCCAATGTCAGAGAAATTTCTGCCTGTGCTCTCTTCTAGGATATTTATGGTTTCAGGTCTCACATTTAGGTCTTTAATCCACTTTAAGTTTATTTTTGTATATAGTGTAAGAAAGTGGTCCAGTTTCATTCTTTTGTATATAGCTGTTTAGTTTTCCCAGCACCATTTACTGAAGGGACTATCTTTTACCTATTGTATATTCTTGCCTCCTTAATCAAAGATTAATTGACCATATAATTATAGGTTCATCTCTGGGCTCTCTCTTCTGTCCTATTGATCTTTGTGTCTGTTTTTGTGCTGGTACCATGCTGTTTTGATTACCACAGCGTTGTAGTATAACTTAAAATCTGGGATTGTGATCCTTCCAGTTTTTTTTTTTTCTTTTTCAAGATTGCTTTAGTTATTGGGGCTCTTTTGTGGTTCCATACACATTATAGAATTGTTTGTTCTAGTTCTGTGAAAAACTAGATTTTGATAGGGATTATATTAAATCTGTAGATTGCTTTGGGTAGTATGGATATTTTAACAACATTTGTTCTTCCAATCCATGATCATGAAATGTCTTGCCATTTGTTTGTGTCATCTCCATTCTCTTTCATCAGTGTTTATAGCAGAGTACAGGTCTTTCATCTCTTTAGTTAAGCTTATTCTTAGGTATTTTATTATTTTTGGTGCAAATGTAAATGGGATTCTTTGCTTAATTTCTCTTGATGCTACTTCATTATTAGTGTATAGATGGGATTGTTTGCTTAATTTCTCTTGTTGCTGCTTCATTATAAAAGTATAGAAATGCAGTGGATTTCTATATATCAGTTGTGTGTCCTGCAACTTTACTGAATTCAACAATCTGTTCTAGTAGTTTTTCAGTGGGGTATTTAGGGTTTTCCACATATAGTATCATGTCACCTTCATATAGTAAAAGTTTTACTTTTTTGGTACCAATTTAGATGCCTTTTATTTCTTTCTCTTTTCTGATTGATGTGGCTAGGATTCTCAGTACTAAGTTGAATAAAAGTGGTAAGAGTGAACATTCTGACCTTAGGGAGAAAGTTTTCAGTTTTTCACCGTTGAGTATGATGCTATCTGTGGGTTTTTCTTATATGGCCTTTAAGATGTTGAGGTATGTTCCCCCTAAAGTGAATTTGTTGAGTGTTTTTTATCATAAATGGCTGTTGTCCATTGTCAAATGCTTTTTTCCTCCATCTATTGAAATAATCATATGATTTTTATTCCCTCTCTTGTTGATGTGCTATATCACACTGATTTGTGAATATTGAACTCCCAGAAATAAATCCCACTTGATCGTGGTGAAAGACTTCATTAATGTATTGTTGGATTCAGTTTGCCAATATTTTGTTGAGGAATTTTGCATCTATGTTCATCAGAAATATTGGTCTGTAATTCTTTTTTTTGTAGTGTCTTTATTTGGTTTTGGTGACAGGGTAATGCTGACCTTATATAATGAATTTGGAAGCTTTCTTTCCTCTTCTATTTTTTTGAATAGTTTAAGAAAATTATATTAACTCTTCCTTATTTATTTTTTTAATGTTTTTGAGTAAGCTCCACACCCAACATGGGGCTTGAACTGACAACGCTGAAATCATGCCATTCCAACTGAGCCAGCTAGGTGCACTCCTAACTCTTCTTTAAATATTTGGGTGTATTCACCTGTGAAGCTGTCTGGTACTGGACTTCTGTTTGTTGAAAGTTTTATGATTACTGATTCAATTTCATTGCTGGTAATCAGTCTGTTCAAATTTTCTACCTCTTCCTGATTCAGTTTTGGGAGGTTATACGTTTCTAGGAATTTATCTATTTCTTCTCAGTTGTCCAATTTGTTGGCATATAATTTTTCATAATATTCTCTTATAATCCTTCATAGTTCTGTGGTATCCATTGTTCTTTTTCCTCCTTCATCTCTAATTTTCTTTATTTGAGTTTTCTCCCTCTCTCCCTTTCTATTTTTTTAATTCATCTGATTAAAGGTTTATCAAGTTATTGACCTATACAAACCAGCTCCTGGTTTTATTGATCTCTTGCATTTTTTTTTTTTTTTTTAGATTCTATGTCATTTCTTTTTGTTCTAATCTTTATGATTTCCTTCCTTCTACTGGTTTGGGGTTTTGTTTGTTCTTGTGTAAAGTTAAGTTGTTCATTTGAGATCTTTCTTGCTTCTTCAGATAGGCCTGTGTTGCTATAAACTTCCACTTTGGAACAAATTTTGCTGCATCCCAAAGATTTTGGATTTTTGTGTTTTCATTTTCATTTGCCTCCATGTATATTTTTATTTCTCTTTGATTCCTTGTTTGACCCATTCATTGTTTAGTAGCATATTATATAAACTCCATGTATTTGTGCTGTCTCCAGAATTTTTTTTTTGGTTGATTTCTAGATTCATAGCATTGTGGTCAGAAAAGATGCATGGTATGACTTTCATCTTTTTTAATTTATTGAGACTTAATTTTGGCCTCATATGTGATCTATTGTGGAGAATGTTATATATGCACTTGAAAAGAATGTATATTCTGTTTTAGGATGGAATGTTCTGAATGTCTGTTAGATCCCTCTGGTCCAATGTGACATTCAAAACCTCTGTTTCCTTGTTGATTTTCTGTTTGGATGATCTATCCATTGATGTAAGTGGAGTGTTAAAGATCCATACTTGTGTTACTGTTGATTACTTTATGCTTTTGGGTGCTTTCATGTTGAGTGCATAAATATTTACAATTGTGTCGTCTTTTTAAAAATGTTTATTTATTTTTGAGAGAGAGAGAGAGAGAGAGAGAGAGAAACAGAGTGTGAGTCCAGGGGGGGAAGAGATAGGAGGAGACAGAATTTGAAAC